ACCGAATAACCCAGGCGATATGGGGACGCTTAAATCAATTACAACATCGTAAGTATTTCATTTTTATTATTTCTATGCTAACTATGGAACTGATTATAGAAAAAAACGTTAAAATGTTACGTGCAACATATAATACATATAGGAAAATGTATATACGTGTTAATATTTATCATTTTAATAATAGACTAATTTTACCAACTTTTATTATAACATTTTTTATTCTAACTATGGAACTGATATATAAAACGTAAACAACGTTAAATGTTACGTGCAACATAAATATAGGAAAATGTATATACATGCTAATATTACAATAATTATGATAACTGTGTAATATCATTTGCCTGTTTTTGATAGAACGAGTGTTCATACAAATCAAAATGAACACTGCGATTTGCTCATTACCATTTTAATAGACTAATTTTACCAACTTTTATTATAAAAATGAAGCATGAATCGTGCACAATCCGGACCCGGAAATCCGCAAATAAATATGTAAAGCAGCGTCGGCGTAGACCCGCTGGATAGAACCGTGCTGTATGGCGCTTTAAATATCGTATGCTAATTAGGTTATAATAATACGGGTTACCTGGTTGAATGTTATCTGAAAGATACTGGGTCCCGCTTTTTAATAAATATAAACATATTCGAACTGAGTCTATAAACTACAAACTACTGTAATGCATTGTTTTATTTTCATAATGAATATAATGAAGTTAAATTGACGAAAACATGTATTATTTCTTTATTTACAGTGTCTTAATATAAAACCCATTAATATCTTGTAAAACAAAAATAAATGATTTAATCACCTAATAAATCACGGGGTCTTGAGATCTCTTATTATCGTGTTATATATATATATATATATTTCCTTACACAATTTCACCCAATTAACACACGAATGTATGTATTTGTCTCCAGGAGGGAAGAATACCAGAGTATGAAATCGACAACGAAGGTTCCTCGTAACGTAAACGTGTTGATTTTGGCAGGATATCGCACCGGCTCTACCATCCTCTCAGAGTTATTCATGAGAAATCCCGACGCTTACTACATATTTGAACCAGGTTTCTTATTGGAATTAGACAATTGTAGCCACGAGTTTTCTACGTTTACAAGGTCTGCCGAACTGACGCGGTTTTTGAATGTTTTATATACCTGTGACTTTGAAAACGAAACGTCACAGTGCTACTTCGACGCTGCGGAAGTGATGCGTGGTACTATTAGGTTTAACGTACGGTGGACAATCAAAATGCGTCTTGGTTTAAATTATGCAAATATTAGCAAAATGAACCTAACGGAATATTGTCTACAGCATCCGATCACAGCGGTTAAAACGATCCGAGTCGAAAAGATAAGTCAGGTGGTGCCATTGATGCGCGACCCCAAAATTGACCTCAAAGTGATAGACCTTGTTCGGGACCCAAGAGGTAAGGCCTCGTCAGTTTTAACAATTAAAGACGAACTTTCAGAAAAAATGCTTTTACGGTCAATCGAACATTACTGTTCCCTGGGAATGGAAAACATAGCTATTGGGAAATCGATGGACGAGTGGCTGCGTCATAACTACATAGCTGTACGGTACGAGGATTTTGCAAATAAGCCGATAGAGGTGACACAAAAACTATACACGACCCTGGGTTTGGAGCTTCCTCCAGACTTGATCCCATGGTTAACGATCAATACTAGCCACGATGGGCATGGAAACGCATATTCAACAACTCGTGACTCCAAGGTCACAGCGCATGCGTGGAGAAGAAATTTGTCGATACGAACAATTCAACGAATTGAAAATATACAAGCCTGTCGTGTTTTTATGAACTACACTGGATATGGATTGGTTGATGGCAGACACAACTTGCTTAACGATAGCAGTATTTCATTTCTCGAGTCACGTCCGGAATGGTTTCTGTGAATATTCAATTCTTATTTCACAAATTTTAATTACATTTTGTAAGTGTGAATTTCGTATATGAGATATTTTGAAGACCATTTTCTGAGTGTTTTTTCTATTCAACTCTAAAGAATAAAAGTGAATAATACAATAATGCATTGAACAAAAGATTTTCATGACGTCACCCACATGACTCATGCATTTATTTCTCATGAGCCACTCATTCTATTCTCATCAATCGCCTAAGTGGAGCGACCACTGCTGGTCTAAGGAACACCGTGTGACTCCCTTGTATCATAATTACCAGAAAATACACAAGTAGACGGCACAAATGAATACTGACGGTTTCCGTCAGACCTGATTTTATGTTGGTAAAATTCCAGAATTATAATGTTCGCTCTTTATTGAAAGTTAAAAGTATTAACATTCAATTGCTATTTTTTAATATATTATAATATATTTTAATTAGTCTTTTAATAATCATTAGAACATTTACATTCAAATTAACTGTTTTCAAATTGTTTATTCTGTATCGCAATATTGTTTTGTTTCAGTGGTTTGACACTTTGTACATACTCATATATTGGGAAGTTGATTGGCTGATACAAATTTCTGATTATTCTATTTAATTTAATTAGATGATGATTTTATAGCGACTTTATCTTTTTGTTTTGTGATATTCTGCGCAAAGGAATTGAAATCAAGTATCTGCACAGTTTGTGTAACACCGTTAGTGTAGTTTAATGACTGAAACGATTTGTGCATTTCAATTGGATAATTTGCATATGAAAAGATTTGTTTGCAACAATATCTCAAATGGATTGAAACTTCGTTGTTTGTGTAGAAGAGTATGTAGTATTATATGCACATTAATTAACAATTTACACACTGTCACTTACCTATATACGAGGGGCATTCAATAAGTAATGCCCCTGACCCATTTCCCATTTCCCATAGCAGAAGATTAATGAAACTTGGCACAGTTATTAGTTTTTCTCCACATACGAACCACCCAGAGTTATGCAGTTATCCCATCGTTTGATGCAGCTCCGGACACCGTTTTTGTAGAACACCCCAGGTTGGTCCTCCAGCCACGTCGCAACTTCAGAAATCAAGGCTGCAACATCATGGCTGGGAAGAGATGAAAGTCAGAGGGTGCAAGGTCAGGAGAGTAATAGGAATGGGGGAGGGTTTCATTAGCCAGACGTCCGTGCTTCTGATCTGGCGAGTTGTGGACCCGAGCATTGTCCTGCAGGAGGAGAATACCTTTGCTGATCTTGCTCCGCCTCTTGATTTTTATAGCTTCTCTTGATTTCATTAAAGGTGAAGCGTAATAGGCTCCTGTAATTGTGGTACCATTTGCTAGTAAATCTGCCATCACTACTCCGTCCTGGTCGCAGAAGACTGTGAGCATGACCCTGCCAGTGGAGGGTTGCACCCTTGCCTTCTTTGGAGGTGGTTAGTCCAAGTGCTTCCACTGCATTGATTGGTATCTGGATCATAGTGATGGATCCAAGTTTCATCCTGTGTAATCAGTCT